GCCACTGCCTGCCACACATCCCACAGCTCCAGCCCTGGGGAAGTGTTGAAGCTAGTGCCAGGGCCACATGGTGGCTGCCATGCTGCTCCTGGGGCAGGGCAGCCGCCTGCCATGTGGCCCAGCTGGGCAGCTCTACCGAGGAGGTGGGCAGGACTCAAATTCTTGGTGTGTGCCCATGCATGCACGCATATAAGAGGGAACACTGGCTGGAACCCAGATATACGTTGGCACTGGAGTCAAAGATGTTTTCCAAGTAAAATACGCACATGCGGCACCGAACAGCACAGTATCTGGCACCAACACCATAGGGGCCGAGCATGCATTCACCTCGCTCTTCTAAAAATATTTCTTTCTCTCCTACACCATTGTCTCCAAGCACCAGACATGAAACTGGTCATGGGAGCAGGTTCTCCTCTCAGCATTCCTCTCCAATGGGTTCAGTGGCATCTTGGCACTCTACTAGAAAGCGGCTAACATACCATGCTCTGCAGCATCCATGGCTTAACCACCCTTAGCTGTATCCACCACAGCTGTTCCAACACCAATGGCCACCTTGGGAGCCCTGGAACCAATATCACACGCACTCCTTGCACCGTCATCGTTCCTGCAAGTCGTCATTGGCAACCTCAGCACATACACTAACGTGCTCTCCGGCCACCACCACCCTGTCTTCCCTGTCCCACTCTCCACGCTCTCTCACCTTCTGCAACCGCCCAAGTGGAGCCTGTGGACAAGGATGACGACCTGCCTCATTTAGATTCCAATAGACTATCTCTGGTTCCTCAGAGATAGAAATGTAGCCGTGTTAGTCTGGTGTAGCTGAAGCAAAATACAGGACGATGTAGCACTTTAAAGACTAACAAGGTGGTTTATAAACTATCTTGTTAGTCTTTAAAGTGCTACATAGTCCTGTATTTTGTTTCTGGTTCCTCAGTCCTCCTCATCTTCAGATGAGGCTGTTCCCCCTCCTCTTCCTTTCCTCCTGCAGACAACCAGCAGCAATTTCAAACGGGTAGCACAGTCCCAGGATACTGGCCAGGACAACATATTGGTGGGAGGAATGGAGGCCGGCCTTTTTCATGTTGCCTCTGATGGTTCCATAATGACCTCATCAATTGGCAAAGCTATTCTGGGGGACATGGCAGGTTAGAGGATTTTTAATAACCTGTGTTGTTTTTCTAGTATCTCCTGCACTGCAGGTCCCGGGTTGTATGTGGTCTTCCTCATTCCTCCTTGGAAATTTCATTTCAAAGGAGAAATGCGGAAGTGCCTGTGACGGACCAGGCAGGGTCTGGGCACAGCTAAGGGTGTCCGCTCAGGGCTATTTGCTCAAACTTGGGACTCTCTCTAGCCCCTGACTGGTGGCCCTTCCCAAACAGGCCACAAACCAGTCTCCCACAGCGCTTCAGCTGCCTGCCTGGTCAGCCAGAAGCCTCCCGAGCAAAAACCCTCCGACACCCCAGCTGTATCCAAGCCCCAAAAAGCCCCGGGCCTAGCACACAGGTGAGGGGTCTTAGAGCCCAATCCCACCTACCCTGAACAAGTTCTGTCCAGTTCCAAGAAACCAGCCACAGATCCCTGGTCAATTTACCCTCTGGCTCTTACCCACAAATCACGCTGAGCCAATCCTTTAGAATCTACAATCTAAAGGTTTATTACTAAAAGAAAGAAAAACATGAGAGTGAGGTTGTTAAAGTATCAACGTTACATGCATCGAATCTCCCAGTTCTCGAGGCAGGCTCTAGCAGAGATGTTACAGCTGCTGGCTTAGAAGTCCTGGGTGTACATCCTGTATCCAGATGGGTCCACAGTTCTTCCCGGCTCGTGATTCCCTGCAAGGCTGCATCTGGGATGAAGGGCTGAGCTGAGCACCAAGATGGAGTCGGTCACATGGCATATTTATATCCTCCCCCCCCTCCTCCCCGCCTCTTCCAAGCTGGACACAGTCACATAGTCAGTGGCCAGGTGTGTCTTTGGCCTTCAGAGGTCCATTGTTCCTGGGAGCTTTGCTCATTAGCATGTCTATGGGCTGAGCATTCCTTGTCTTGCTCAGCCACAAACAGAGAAGTTTCCAGTATTGACACAGAATACATCTTCATAATTCCCACACCCAGATACTATACAAGTATATGGATAGCATATACAGAACCAGTAGAAGGAAAGCTTTCGTTTGACACCTTACATTGCCCCCCCCCCCCCCCCCCATGGGTGCAGCAGTGATCTGGTTGCTCCTTTTAAAATCCAGTAACGTGACAGTGCCTATCGAGTAGTAATTCCATTGACTAGTCTATTAACCGCATTTTAACATCATTACTAGTCCAGTGGGGCTGCATTTACGCTGCAAAGCGGCGACTCCAGCTTGTGCTCTATCCCTCAGGTCCTGGGGACCTAAGAAATAAAGTAAATTCCCAGTCTGAGCCCTAGACACGAAACAAGGTCTGACTGAAGCTGTGTCTCACCTGATGCATGGTGCAAACAGGTCCCACATCTTCCAGACCCCCCGGTAACCCGCTCCCCTCTTCACGCTTGGCCCGCACATGGGTGTCCAGGTGTTGTGCTGGTGGGAGTGAGGCCAGGCCATGATGTCACTTCCTTTCTCTGCTAAGCATCCTCCAGTGCCTACATGCTGCCTCTTAAGAACCCCCAATTGCATACAGGCCCTTGCCTTGAGGGGCCACCCGCCTCGCTTCCTCCCCCCTGCAGTCCTTGGATGGCAGCTCAGCTTCCCAGACAGCCACGTGCTCCTGTTCCACAGCGTAAGCCTCCGTGGCATCCGTGGTGCCCAGCACACGGCACACACCCGAGGGGGCCAGGGAATGGCTTTGAGGCATGCAGGGGCATGGAGGAATGTTTGGGGGAGCAGTGACACCATCACCTCCCCCCGACTTACCTCAGTGGGCCACCCAGCCTGCAGGTCAGTGTCTGTTTCCACTCTGGCCACACCGCATTCTATTGGCAGCCGCCGTGCCCAGCACTGGCCCTACTCCCAGAGCCAGCCTGAGGGGAGGGAGCAGCATGTCAGGGTTTGGGGAGAGCAACTGGGGATGGGGGGTGGGAGACTGGAAAACAGCTGGACTAGCTGGAAAGGCTCCAGGCTGTGGGCGATGCAGCCCCCAGCAGCATGGACACCTCACTCTCCCGGAGCTGCTGCAAGCCCGACCATGCGCCACTCAGGCTGCGGCTCACGCCTGCTCCGGCTGCTCCCTCTCAGCATGTGTTTGGCGCCCCTAGATCTGGTCGAGTGAGCGAGGGCGCTGCCGCTCCTTGGACATGCTGCGCCGGCTGCAGAAGGCCTGGGCTGAAAGACAGTTCCGCCTGGTCAACTTCATCCTGAACGTGCCCTACCAGGCCCCGCTGCCTGAGCACCCTGCCCGCCGGCCCCCCAGCCGGCGCTACCGCCCGCCTAAGCAGGAGTATGTCTCCAAAGACAGCGGCACCTTTGTGCTGTCTGGTGAGTGCTGCATGAGTCACTGACTGGCCAGGGCCTCTCACGTCCCTTAGCAGAGACCCCTTCAGTGTGCTAGGCCCCACAGGGCCACACAGCACAGGCCTGCAGCCTCCAAGATGCCAAGATGGGGCCCTTGGGCACCAGCAAGCCCTGCCACTCTCCGTGGCTCCCTGCAGGAAATCAAGCCCGGCCAGACGCCCGGGGGAAGCTGGCATGGGCCCTGTCACAGGCAGCCTTTGCAAACAAGGTCACATTTGAATAGTCACCTGACCTTCCAAATCCAAAAGTCCTTGGCTAGAGCAGAGGGGCACAGGGGAAGCGGGAGCCCCCTGGCCAAACCCATGCTGTGGAGAGAGCCAGGTTCTTCAGAAACCCACCTTCTATCCTTGGCCTGCCAGGGTTTCCCCCGACGAGTGTCGGCCATTGGCCAGTCAGCACGGTGCCCCCCGGGGGACGATCAAAAGTGCAGAGGAGACTGAGGCATGTGTAAGAACCATAAAGATGTTTGTCTCGGGCTGCATGGGGGGAAGGTTGGTCTGAGCAGGCTGGGACCCCAGGGAGACATGGGGCAGCTGTTGGCCTCTGACCACCCACTGCCTTCAACTCGGAGACTGGCCAGACCATGAGAGCCCCCAAGGGACAGGGAAACCACCCGGAGTCCCCTGGTGTCTCTTCTCTCCAGGGAATGGAGGACTCGAGCTGCTCTGGCCTTGGCTGGTTCCCCGTCCTCGCTGGAAGCTTCTGGCCTCAGGCTTGGGGGAAACTCACCCATCCCACCCACTGTGCCATAGCCCAGCAGCACCCCCAGGAATCCAGAACTCAGAGAGCCTCCATGGCCAAGTTGCTGGGATCAGCTGGGGCCACACCCCTGGGCATGCAGGTGTCCAGTGCCTTTGGGCTGCCAGACTCTCCCCCTCTTCTCTTCCTGAGTACAGACACGGCAGAGCTCAAAGCCCTGGCAGAGGCAAGCCTGCTGACCTTGAAGAGCATCATCCTCTCACCCCACGCCACGGAGCTTCGGGAGGAGGCCGAGAGCTGGACCAGCACCTTGCGCAGCTTTGGTGAGGGGCCGGGGGTGTGAAGGGGAAGCACTTGGGCAGAGAGGTGGCAGGCTGTCCTCTGCCCGGGCGCTGGCTTGTCCTTCCACCGGGTGTCTGCACCGTGATGTGGGGCTGGGTGCTGGGGGCCCCAGCGTTTGTAGGCCAGGCCTGAGCGTCCCTTCTGACCACTGACCTACATGTAGACCTGCTGGCCCTGGAACTTGCCCCCATGCTCCCGTGTCTGCAAACCCGAGTCCAAGCAGCTTATCCCAAGCTTCCTTGTGCCTTCTCGATCTGTAACCTCTGGAGATGTGGCCCTCCCACCGCATTTCCCAGGAAGCTCCTGCAGCCTACCAGCCTGTCTGGTGGGGCTACCCCAGAAGCGCGGGGCTCTGTGCCACACCTGTGCCCCCCCTCTTTCTCCTTTGGTCCCACCCCCTGCTTAGGCCAAATGCAAGAGTCAGGCTGTGGTAAGAGCTGCTCAGTGAGTCCAGGCCACTGTGGAGAGCCCCAAATCCTCCACTTGCCCTTGGTGAAGAGCTAGGCTGCCCACAATGAGGAACTTTCTCTTCTTTTTTGAACTCAATTCTACTTGCCATCACAACATCCCAGGTCAGCGAGTTGGGTATTGGGTGAAAAGGTACTTGGTCTCCTATATCCTGCTGCCTGATAACTTCATCAGGGGTGTGGAAAAGGGTGGATAATAGTTCTTGGAGTGTTGTCCTTGGGGCACCTCACTTCAGGTCTTGGTGCATCCCAGGGCCATTGAGGGAAATTTTCTGTAGCCATGTCCGTCCAGGCCACACGTGTGCAGTACACTTCTTGTGGCACCTTTGGTGCCTTGGCCAGCCCCCTCAGTTCCTTCTCCACCACACTTGGCCTGAGATGAACGGCTTGGTGGTATCCCACTGTCTGTCACCCACTCTACCAATATCCATTCACCTGTTTTAGCAGAGCTTTGCAGTTACCTATTGTGACGGACCGGGCCAAGTCTGGGCACAGCTGAGGGCGTCCGCTCAGGGCGAATTGCTCAACCTCGGGACTCCTTACAGTCCCCAGACTGGTGACCTCTCCAATCAGGCCACAAATCAGTCCCACAGAGCGCTTCAGCTGCAAGCCTGAAGCCTCACGAGCAAAACCCCTCCGACACCCCAGCAATATCCGTGCCCCAGATAGCCCCAGGCCTCATACACAGGTGGGGGGTCCTAGCACCCAATCCCACTTACCCCGAACAAGTTCTGTCCGGTTCCAAGAAACCAGCCACAGAACCCTGGTCAATTTACCCTCTGGACCTTACCCACAAATCACGCCGGGCCAATCCTTTAGCATCTAACATCTAAAGGTTTATTACTACAATAAAGAAAAGCATGAGAGTAAGGTTGTTAAAGGATAGTACATTACATGCATCGAATCTCCTAGTTCTCAATGCAGGCTCTAGCAGAGATGTTACAGCTGCTGGTTTAAAAGTTCTTGTTGCACATCCTAGGATCAGGATGGGTCCACAGGTCTTTCTGGCTCTTCGATCCCTGCAGTGCTGCCTCTGGGGTGAAGTGCTGAGCTGAGGCCAAATGCAGGCTCTAGCAGAGATGTTACAGTTGCTAGTTTAAAAGTTCTTGTTGCGCATCCTAGAATCAGGACTGGTCCACAGTTCTTTCCAGCTCTTTGATCCCTGCACTGCTGCCTCTGGGATGAAGTGCTGAGCTGAAGACCAAAATGGAGTCCACCACATGGCCTCTTTATGCATCCTTCCTGGTCTCTTCTTGGCTGCAGCAGGTCACGTGGCCAGCGGCCTATCCCTGTGTTCCCTGCTGGCAGCTCTCAGGTGTCCACCCTCATGCTTTAGGTGTGTCCTTGGCCCATTGAGTGCAATTGTCCCACAGGGCCTCGCTGATTAGCATGTCCATAGGCTGGGCTCTGCCCAATGCTCAACCACATTCAGAGAAATATTCAGTCTCCACACAGATTACAGATTCCTACCCACACACACAGACATTATATAATCACATGACTAGCGTACACAGGATCAGCAGACAGTAAGCTCCTATTCAACACCCCACATGGCCCCTTTATACCATTTTGGGGGCCAACACCCCCCCCATGGGTGCAGGAGTGATCTGGCTGCTCCCCTCAAAGTCCAGTAACGTGACACCTATGTAGTTAGTAACAGAGTAACTCATTAGTGATTCAGTTCAATAGTGTAGTTAGTGTCCGAGTATCTCGTTAGTAATTCAATTAAATAGTGTAATCAATGTACCTCGTTAGTATTTCAGTTCCATAGTGTAGTCAGAGTACCTTGTTAGTATTCCAGTTCCATAGAGTAGTTAGAGTACTTCGTTAGTAATTTAGTGCAATGGTGTAGTCCAGTGGTCACCAGCCAGTCGATCGGGATCTACCGGCAGATCTTGGAGCCCTTCACAGGTGACCCTGAGAGCTTTGGCCAGGAGACTATCAAGTGCCCGCACTTCAGCTGCCCCTCTCAGCACGGCCGTGCTACCCTTGTCCTTTGCCTTGGAGCTGTTCCCCACCCATGGGAGCCTCCTGCTTGCTGTGCAGGGCACGGGAAGAATAGGAAAGGGAGTTACTGATCTCACGGTGCTCCTCCCTCCACTCTGTACCCCACCTCCACAGAGCAGAGGGGGGCAGGGATGGAGAGAGCTTGCTGGCTGCTTTTGAGAGTGGTGCAGGGCCAGGGCAGGGTGAGCCTGCCTTAGCCCCCTGCACCATCACCCAGAAGCCACCTGTGGTAAGCGGTGCTCAGCTGGAGCCTGCATTCCAAACCCAGGCCCCAGTCCTGAACCTTTCCTGTCCCCCAAATTCCTGCCCCCAGCCTGATAAAAGTGTGTGAGGATGGAGTGAGCAGGGGCAGGGCCTGGGAGAAGGGGCAGGAAGGAGGTGGGTGTGGCATAGCAGGGGGCTGTCCACTCTTGTGGCTCTGGATCCTGTCTGGTTGGGCAGTCACTGGTTGCTATGTTGGGCTGTGGGTGACCCCTCTGCAGAGACTGCGCGTGTCTGTGTGCACTGCCCAGTGGAGGGGTGGTCCCTGAGGGCAGGCATGTAGGCCATAAATTAGCAACTTCATACCTGGCCAGGGGAAGGAGTTTGAACAAAGGAAGAGGTGTGGCTGCCTGTGGGGAGTGAGTGACCGGTGGCTGGGAGAAGGGGTAGTCTGCGTGAGGAAGATGAGCAAGGCAGCCAAGGGGGGGGGGAAGCCTCTTCACACACACACACACCCCGCCCAAGAGGAATAAGGTTCTGCCCTGGCTCCGCTGGCAACGTTGAGCCTGTGATGCGCTGGATCTCTGAGAAGCAAAGAAACCTATTCTATGGCCTGGCTGAGGATGGGGGGGCAGGATCGGGGCTCCCCAATGCACCGACACAGTGGGGCAGGGGTATTTGGGTTTGAGGTAGATCCTGGATTTCACTTAAATTCAAAAAGTGATTTCATGCTTAAAAAGTTTGAAGACCACTGGTGTAGTTAGAGCAGCTCATTAGTAATTCAGTTCCATAGTGTGGTGTGACAGGCTGGGCCGGGTCTGGGCACAGCTGAGGGCGTCCGCTCAGGGCAAATTGCTCAAATTCGGGGCTCCTTACAGCCCCCAGACTGGAGATCTTCCCAAACAGGCCACAAACCAGTCCCACAGAGCGATTCAGCTGCCTGCCTGGCCAGCCAGAAGCCTCACGAGCACAACCCCTCCGGCACCCCAACAATATCCGTGCCCCAGATGGCCCCGGGCCTCATACACAGGTGAGGGATGTTAGAGCCCAATCCCACCTACCCCGAACAAGTTCTGTCCGGTTCCAAGAAACCAGCCACAGATCCCTGGTCAATTTACCCTTTGGACCTTACCCACAAATCACGCTGGGCCAATCCTTTAGCATCTAACATCTAAAGGTTTATTACTACAAGAAAGAAAAGCATGAGAGTGAGGTTGTTAAAGGAATAGTACATTACATGCATCGAATCTCCCAGTTCTCAATGCAGGCTCTAGCAGAGATGTTACAGCTGCTGGCTTAAAAGTCTTTGGTGAACATCCTAGGTCAGGATGGATCCACGGGTCTTCCCGGCTCGTGATCCCCTGGGAGGCTGCATCTGGGGTCAGGAGCAGATCTAAGACCACATGGCCTATTTATCCCTCCTTCCTGATTTCTTCCAAGCTGGAGGGAGTCACATGGCCAGTGGCCAGGTGTGTCTTTGGCCTCCAGAGGCCCATTGTTCCCTGGAGCTTTGCTCATTAGCATGTCCATAGGCAAAAATTCCTAGCCCATTATTCAAGCACATTCAGAGAGACTTCCACTCTCCATTCCGAGTACAGATTCCTAACTCCACACATAGACGTCATACAGATATATGAAGATCAGATACAGAATCAGAAGTAAGCTTTTGTTTGACCCCACACATTGCCCCAAAAGTGGTACAAAGGGGGTCAACACCCCCCCATGGGTGCAGCAGTGACCCGGCTGTTCCCCTCACAATCCAATAACGTGACAGCATGTCCATGGGCAAACATTCCTGGCCCATTGCCCTGCCTCAGACAGAGAATCTTTCAGCATCAACACAGAGCACATATTTATAACTTCTCCTTCGAGTGGTCCCCGTGGGTGCTCCACTCTGGGTGCTGGTGCATCCTCGCGCCGGCGACCGGAGACTTTTCAAGCCATTTCTGCCACGCCACGCAGGCGCCGTGGAGCCCTCTAGTGTCGTTGGAATTGAAGGGCGCCTGCGTGTACAGCTCCTCAGTTCCTTCTCTACCGTCCTCGGCAGCAGATGGAGAGCCTTCTGTTCTCCTTACTTTCTCTAAAAATAGTTAAATATCTCATTTTATTCCCTTAGTTACCTCATCAGCCAAGTTCTTTAGCCCTACCCGCCTCCCCTGTCTAGTTATTTAAAAAAAAAAAATTCTCGTTGCTGCTTGCCACTTTTCCCCACCCCTCATGCCCAGCTCGCCGGGCTTCAAACGCTGCAAGTCATGTCGGGATGCCATGCCTGCTTCCAACGGACACTCCACTTGTATTAAGTGCCCTGGGGAGGCGCACCAGACTCAAAAGTGCCTGCACTGCTCCAAATTAACAGCGAGGGCCCGCCGAGACCGGGCCAATAGACTAAAGACTCTCTTATACGAGAAGTCCCTCCATCCCTCTTCAGAGGACTCGCCTACGCTTTCTAGATCACTTCAACTAACTAAGGGTATGGAGAAAAATCAACCCCCTACCCACTCTTCTTCCACGGCATCAAAAACCGGTCTCTCTCCAACTCCATCCCTATCCTCGGCACCATCAGCATTACGGGTTAGCGCTGAGGATAGGCCAGGAACCTCCGGCACGTCGCAACCTAAGACGCAGGCACCGCACAAAAGAGCTCATTCAGAGCCAAGACAAAAATCAGCGGCACTGACCGCTACGGCGCCTAAGCCATCCTCAGCACCGACTGTGCCATCGAGAGAGCGCTCGGCACCGAAGCATGCCAAAATGGCACTGTGCTCGGCACCAAAAAAGGCCCGTGCCGATAATCCACCTTTTAGTGCTCTGGTGCCAGAACAAACCTCGGCACCGACAACCCCCTCGATAGCGGCGTCGTTACCACCGAAACCACACCGCCCCGCACCGTCTCAGAGGCATGAGCGGTACCAATCCCCACTGCGGAGCCACACCTCCTCGGCACCGCCATCCCTGGGTTCCTCTGTCCACTCGGTGAGATCTCAGCGCTCCTTGTCCGCTTCTCGTTCAGTCAGTGACATCAGCACCGAACCAAGGAGCAGGTTCTCATCACAACACTCTAGCCCGGCACATAGACCTCCATCCTGGCAGCCGGCTACTGTTCAATATGCATGCCCTCCCACTCCGCATCCATGGTATGCACAGCACTATGCTTACCCACCCCCGCCATATACCACTCAATGGCAACCCTGGGAGTCACATCCAAAGAAGAGTCACCATCGACCCTCTTCTACTATTTCCAGGCCACCTCTTCCCTCGCCTCCTGCCACCGTATCTGCCACTGAGCCGAATTCTCCAGCCCCCTCAGACGCACATGACTCCCTCTCTGAGGGCGAGACCAGATCTCCTTTACACAATTCCTTCTCCTCCCCAGACGAAGCGGTCACCACCGAAGCCCCACCGTCGGGAGACGACACAAAAAAATTTCAGGAATTGTTTAAAAGAGTTGCTATAGCTCAGGAAAGAGATCTCCAAGAGGTGCAAGTCAAATGATATCGCCTTCTTCGTACGCTTCAGCCCCCAACCGCCTCCAGAATTGCTATTTCTGTACCTTTTGTTATCTCTTTGTTGTCACTAAGACCTCCACAGAGTGAAATGGCAATTGAAGGCAAGTCTCTCATTCCATCTGAGACACCTTCAACGCCACTATCAACACCTGAACTTCCACCAGAGTGAGGGGACTGATTGGCTGACCGTGGTCCATTTTCATTTGCATTCTTTCCATGTGCAATATTTTCACCACTGTGGGGAAAAAAAACAAAAAAACAAACCATTATGGGCCGAAAGGTTTACTCTTCGTCCACATTACTCCTCAGGGCTGCAAACTATACTGCCATGCTTGCGGACTATGACCATGCTAATTATTCCAAGCTCCAGGATCTCCTCCAGCACCTCCCGGAGCATAAACGGTCAACCCTGCTCAATATTATGCAGGAGGGCCACACCATCTCCTGCACAGCTTTGCAGTCCACTATGGATGTGGCAGACACCGCAGCTCGAATTATGGCCTCGGCGATAGTGCTCCACAGAATTTCCTGGTTACAAGCATCTGGGGTACCTAGGAAATCTACAACAAAAGGTTGAGGACTTACCCTTTGATCGGAACAAACTCTTTGCAGCTAAGACCGACGAGGCATTGCATTCTATGAAGGACTCTCGTACTACTCTCAGGACCTTTGGAATGTACACTCCTCCATTCAAGAGAACTAGGTACCAGCCTTACCAACGCCTGAGAGAGCCGTTCCGGCAACAACCCAAGTACGATTTCCGCAAACAGAGATCTCAACGTCGTAGACCACAGCGACAACAACAGCAACACGTCGCACCCCATCCAGCAAGCTGCAGGTTTGAAGGTCACGTCGAGAGCCAGGAAGCCAATCCGCTGACATTCCCAACTGCTACCCTTCAGTTCCACCACCCCCTCTGAGCCTTTTTCCACCAATGATCCCTCATCACCTCGGACAAATGGGTCTTGGATCTGATTTAATCTGGTTACATCATCCCCTTTACCTCTCTTCCCCCCACCCACCCTCCTATCCTGTCCCTTCTCAGGGACCCATCTCACGAAACCGTCCTCCTACAAGAGGTTTCACACCTTCTTCAACTGGGCGCAGGAGAATATGTACCAACACAATTTCGAGGCCGGGGCTTCTACTCAACTTACTTCCTAACCCAGAAGAAGACAGGAGGCTGGCGACCCATCTTAGACCTCAGGCGCCTCAACAAATACCTCGCATACCACTGTTTCAAGATGGTCACCCTCTCAACTTTCATTCCCAAACTCGATCAACACGATTGGCTTTCGTCTCTCAACCTTCAAGACGCATATTTCCACATTACAATTCATCCTGCTCACAGACGCTTCTTATGGTTTACAGTGGGCACCCAACACTATCAGTACAGGGTGCTCCTGATTGGACTGTCTACGGCCCCCAGGGTGTTCTCCAAAACCCCTGTCGGTCGTAATGGCCTCTCTTCGATGCCAAGGCATCATAATATTCCCGTATTTGGACGATTGCCTCATAAAAGGTGCGTCCTTCAACGAAACGAAGACCATGACAGATACCACAATAGCCCTTCTACTCAGCCTCGGGTTTCATGTAAATTACACAAAATCCACTTTACGCCCAAAGCAGAGACTGGAATTCATAGGCGCCCTCCTCGACGCAGTCGCAGCAAGGACTACTCTTCCCGAACACAGGTTCGCGATGATATGCGACCTTGTCCAAGCAGCACAAGCAGTACCAACTGTCACGGTCCGCCACTGCCTCAAAATCCTCGGACACATGGCTTCCACGACCTATGTTGTCAGTTTAGCCAGACTCCGCATGAGACCTCTCCAGTCCTGGCTCACGATGGTTTACAGACCCTCCAGAGACCAACTCTCCAAGTCCGTCGCTATTCCACCACGCATCATCAACTCCCTGCTCTGGGGGACAATTCCTCAAAACATGCTACACGGCGTTCCTTTTCAACGCCCACCTTCCACTCTCACACTTATAACAGATACCTCACTCATGGGATGGGGAGCTCACTTGGGACACATCAGAGCCCAAGGCAAATGGTCATTTATGGAGCAAACGTTGCATATCAACCTCCTCGAGCTACAGGCAGTCAGATATGCATGCCAATATTTCGCTCAGTACATAGCTCACAAGACCATCACCATCATGACGGACAATACCACCTGCATGTACTACATCAACCGTCAGGGTGGTGCTCGATCCCTTTCCCTGTGCTCAGAAGCTACCAAGCTGTGGACCTGGTGCCTATCACACGGGGTCACCCCTTTACCTTCCCGGGATACTCAACGTCACAGCAGACGCTTTAAGCCATACGTTCATGGACCAGCACGAATGGGAGATCGACAGACACGCCCTCACTCTGCTCTTCCTTCACTGGGGCCAACCGGAAGTGGACCTCTTCGCCACAAAGAACAATCGAAAATGCCACCTCTACTGCTCCAGAGGAGCCCTGGGGAAAAGTTCCCTCGGAGACGCCTTTTCCATCACATGGGATGCCTCCCTCTTGTATGCCTTTCCCCCCCTTCCCGCTCCTAAACCAAGTCCTCAACAAGATCAGTACGGACCAAGTGCTAGTCATTCTAGTGGCACCTGCGTGGCCCAGACAAACGTGGTATCCTTACCTCCTCAAGATGACGGTGACGGATCCGGATCCCTTTCCTTCCCACCACAACCTCCTCTCGCAGAACCATGGTCGGACCCTTCATCCAAATGTTCTCAAGCTCAATCTCCATGCCTGGCTCCTTCATGGCTCCAGGATGCCGAGACTGCCTGCTTGGAACAAGTGAAAGACATTCTAATTAATAGTAGGAGACGTTCCACCAGGAAAACCTACCTGAACAAGTGGACTCGTTTCTCCCACTGGTATGCTCAAACCCACGCAAGCCCACCACACCTCGCTCCTGTACATACCTTACTGGACTACTTACTATCCTTGAAACACTCCGGCCTGGCACTTAGCAGTATCAAGGTCCATGCTGCCACCATAGCGGCTTTTCACCATTCTACGTGGGGCGCTTCCTTTCTCGCTGACCCACTGACAAAGCGCAAGCGTTTCTTTAAAGGTCTTCAGAATACCTTCCCTCCGGTCTGGCCACCAGTCCCCATTTGGGACTTGAACCATGTCCTTAAGAGCCTTACAAAACCTCCGTTTGAACCAATAGCTACCTGCTCCTGGTCTCACTTGTCTATGAAAGTAGCCTTCCTTGTCACCATTACCTCCAGTAGGAGAGTGAGTGAACTTGCAGCCTTAATGGCTGACCCTCCATACACTGTATTTTCAAAGGACAGGGTGATACTCCGACCCCACCCTCAATTCCTCCTTAAAGTACCCTCCCCCTTCCACATGAATGAACCCATACACTTACCTGCCTTCTTTCCGAAGCCGCACGTGGACCCAATCCAGACTGCATGTCACACTCTTGATGTCTGACGAGCTCTGGTGTTCTACGTAGATCGCACAAAGCCGTGGCAAGCCTCACCTAGACTTTTTATCTCTTACGCTGCAAGATCTAAGGGACGAGCAGTCTCATCTCAAAGAATTTCTAGATGGATTACATCCTGCATTAAAACTTGTTACACCCTATAGGGCAAGGACTTACCTGGAACTATCACAGCTCATTCCACCAGGGCGGTAGCTTCCACGACTGCCTTCCTTCATAACGTTCCACTGCAGGACATTTGCAACGCTGCTACCTGGTCATCTGACCACTCGTTTGCGCAACACTATGCTCTTTCCACCTCCATAGCATCCTATATGGCAGTTGGACAAGCGGTGTTATCCGCAGTTACTACCACGCGGCTCCAAACCCACCTCCATGAGCCAACAACTGCTGTGTAGTCACCCAGAGTGGAGCACCCATGGGGACCACTTGAAGGAGAAGAAAGAGTTACTCACCTTGTGCAGTAATGGAGGTTCTTCTTCGAGTGGCCCCGTGGGTGCTCCACTCTAGGTGTCGGGTCCCATCCCGGCGCCGCGGCTCGGAGACTTCATAGCCGTGCTCCGCCAGCTCGCGCATGCGTGGTTCCCCAGGATAGCGTTCGCGCCTTTGATCAGCCGCGCGCGAGCCGGCAACCGTCAGTTCCTCTCAACCGCCTCAGGTCGCGGTCGGAGCTCCCTGATCTCTTCCCTAGTCATGGTTTTAGATAGTTGTCTACCTGTAAATAGTTAGAGTTTTAGGGTTAGCTGTGTTCCTGTTAACTGTTATGTGTTCTCTTGTTTAAAAAAAAAAAAATTCTTTAAAACTGTTTTCACTCAGAAGCGCTGCTGCGAAGCGCTAAGCTGTGAAATTGACTAACCGCAGCGGTTTACACACAATTCAGTTTTTCTGTGACTCTGCTCAAAAATGCCAGGATCAACTGGGTTCAAGAAATGTTCGGTCTGCCGAGAAGCCATGCCAACGGCTGACGGCCATGATAGTTGTATTAGGTGCCCGGGAGACACTCA